GATATATTATATATTGTTTTATATATTATTATTAATTTTTATATAATATAAATTTTAAAATTAGATACATTGGTTTGGGATTTCGTAATTAATTATTCGTTATAATTCCATTTTAGTAATAGCAAATAGAAAATTTATCTTATCGTTATTCTTCTTTAGAATATTCTATCAAGGTTAACTTCAAGAATAAAGTAATATCGTTTTATTTGAATTTATAATTTGAAAAATTCTTAAATAATGAAATGGGTGATGAATTAACATTATATTGATAAATAATATATATTGAAATAAATACATCAAATGAGAGTTTTATAAATTCTAAAATATTTAACTAATTGATCATTATTAAAACAATAATTTATTGTTAGAATTAAATAGAAGTATAAATTCCAATAAAATCAGATAAATATTAAACTTTAGCTTCAAAGCCTATTACATATCTTAAATTTAGGTTTTAATGGAATTGTTATTAAAATGATGTTTTACATAAATTTATCAAATTCTAATGGGAATCCTTTTGATAATGTCGTTATATTATAGGAGAAGTCTTCATATCTCCAATATATTGAATATCTAAATCTTCCATTTAAATGGAATTTTTTCAAGCAATTGTAATTTTCCTTAATTTATTAACTCAAGTAAAATAATAAAAAAAATAAACTTTCTAAATTATATTTATAACTTAATTATTTTCCTCTTTGAGACTCTACAAATTTTATCAATTATTCGAATGTAAGTTTATCGTTATAGTTTTTAACTATGTCTTGATTTTGTTACATTTATTCTGATTAAAAAGGTTGATTTTAGATATAAAACTATTATTCTAGAAGTGAGTTATATTATGTTTTTGATTTAGTTCTTTTAGAAGTATCTCCTGCACAACTTTAAAAAGTTTCACTTTTTTCGTTGCTTACAATATTCTTCTTTAAGAACAAGAGAAGTTTCTTATTTATAGTTAATTCAAACTATTTTACATTAAATTTTAAATGTTTTCGATAGATTAAACCATATAAACTTTCGATTAGATCTACTATTTAAATTAATCTTCCAAATTATCAACTTCACAAATAAATGCTATTTAAGAGCATAGTATTTGATTTTAAACTGATAAGTGAATGATATCAATTGAATTAATATTCTATTCATTCAGTTTAATAAAATTACCATGTTCTTATACATATTTAATTGAGTTTTCGAAATAAGTTATAAATTTATGTGTCGCCAATTTAAGAAAATTCATTATTTTTAGATCAAATATATTTAATTTTACATTAAATTTTCATTTTAAGGATCATAACAATTGATCTTAAATTCAAGATTTTATTATATTTATTCAAATTAAAAAAAAGAGTTTAGATTGTTATTTCTTGATTTATTTTTGTCAATCAAATTTAAATAAAAAATATTTCTAATTAAAAAGTTAATGTTTATTTATAATATAATAAGAATTAATTATAACATCTACACATGTCTAATTGAGATAATTAATAAAACAATTAAAATTGTTTATTTTAATATAAAATTTTCTAAGTTTCTGAATTCTCAAAAAATAAATATTACTTAAAAAGGTTAAATCATAAAGTATCTAACTATTCAAAATTAAAAAATGGTTATAATTTACTAATAGGAAGAGCAAAACAGAAAGAAAACATAAGTTTTAGAATGGGGTCCTCACAATTAAAGATTTTTTCTATCTAAACTCCAAATTATAAAAAATTAGTTATACTTAACTTATTTATAAACCATAGGGCTCATGTGAAAAAATCATGTTATCTCAAACGATATTAAATTATATAATTATATATTTAGTTATAAGTCACTTCTATTGGTGAAAGGAATATGGCAAGAATAAGAAATTCATATTTATGTAAAATACAATTTTAATGAATTGATTTCAAATTAAAAGTAGTAGAGCATAATATGATCTAAATTAAGATGGCTATTTAAAGAGAGGGAATGGATGGAGTTGAGGGATATGTTTTTAATAGAAAGATGTTGTAGTTGATAATTCTAAACTTTTACAATGAAAAATATATTTTGAAAATAAAGATAGATAAGAATATAAAATAATTGATGAAAATATATGCTAATTAATTTGAATTAATTATTGTAAATAAAGAAGTTATGAACAGTTTTTATTAAGTATTAAACCCATAGCTATAAACATAGCAAAACTGTTATGGCGAGTTTTGAGAAACTCGTTATTGCAAAAATCTTATCCCTAGTATAAGCATATAGATAATAGGTGACAAATAGAAAACTCTATCGAATAATTAGGTTTATTTAAGTTGGTGAAATATGATTATTTTAGGATAAGAATTTATAATTTAATAGATGATAAAAATTAAGGTGCAGAATAATAAAAAATTTAAAAATGAATTGATGAAAAATGAAAACAAGAATATAATTATGAAGCAATAATGCTCATCAAAAATTATTGAAATTCACTATAGATAATTCAAATAAGAATAGCAAAAAAGTTGTGTTGATTAATATTTTGAATATTTGGATTAAGTTTCCGATTTTTCTTGATAAATTGATTAAAATATGGAATTTATCTAATTATAAAGATGAAGTGCTTTTTCAGATATTATTTAAGCAGAATATTATATGAATGATGACCTTTGTTTAAATAGAGTAAAACCGTCAACTTCATATTAACTTATAATATTAGAGTTATCATGAAGATTTTTGGACCTTTAAAATTATATCTAAATAATATTTACCTGAAAAATATTACTAAATTGTAATTTACACGATATCAAATATAATAATATTTGCCTTTCTGTAAATTTTTCCCCTTATTTTTAGCTTCTATATAAATTAACCCTAGTTCTTCGCTATACTTAAAAAAGTAATATTTGAGAGATTTTCAGTTTCCACTCAGCTTAAAAAGGCCAGATTATATAGAGAGTAATATGGGTGTAATAATATTTGATTTTAATCATTGTAATAATTGAAATAAACATATGGAAGATAATGGTAAAGGTATGAATCAATGATTAAATCAGATTATTTAAATCTTACATTTAATTAATTAATTAATCAAAATAAAATAATGATGTCATTATAAATCTTATTTGTTGTCATTGTTATAGGTTTAGCATTCGATTCTGAGGCTGATAAAATAGTATTTCCAGGTTGGGGAGAATATAATTTTGGCACATATTCAGGACATCTTACGTTTGGAACAGGATTAAGGTATCATTATAAGAATTATATAGAAAATTTCATTATATTTTTCTTGAAAGTCAAAGTAATCCAGCAACAGATCCTGTTGTATTATGGTTAGGTGGTGGTCCAGGATGTTCTTCATTACTAGGATTGAATGAAGAGATTGGACCATTTGTTATGGTTGATGATGATAGAGTATTTAAGAAGAATCCTTATCCATGGAACACTCGTGTAAATTTATTATTTATAGATTAACCTGCTGGAGTTGGATTCTCAACCAATAATGATCCAACTTATGAATATAATGATATAAATTCTGGTGAGGATAATTATCAAGCAATTTTAGTTTGGTTTTCTATATTTAAACAATATTAAAAAAATAGATTTTTCATTGCAGGAGAATCATATGCAGGTATATATATGTAATCACAATTTAGGAATGTATATTCCTTATACAGCAAGAGCTATTGTTGATGGTAATAAATAAGCTGTTATAAAAATTCCGTTAGAAGGTGTTTTAATTGGAAATGGATTGTTAGTAACAGATCCAATTAAAAGAAATTCAGCTCTTTAGGAATTCTTTTTAAAAAGGAATTTTATGTCTCCTACAACAACAAATACCATAAGAAAAATATGTAGTGTTTCTCCAAACTCTATAAAATGCTAATTAGCTTAAGCTGAATTTAAAAAGGTTTGTTTGGATTCAGATATTAATATTTATAATGTATATGGATATTGTCAGAGAGATTCAACACCTGAATTTTTGAAACAAAAAGAAGCATCAGGAAGAAAGATTAGATATCCTTTTGTACCTTGGTATGAAGGAAATAGTTATGGAGATGATGATGAAGAAAAAGATCCATGTTCTGATTTTGGACCTATTAATGAATATTATAATAATGCATAAGTCTAAGATGCCTTACATATATAAGATAGACCATAATTTTGGAGTGCTTGCAGTAAAGATATCTTTTTTAAATACACAATGAATAAGGAAGGAAGCTATAAAATACTTCCTTATTTAAATAAATTAGGAATTAGAATTCTAATATATTCTGGTGATTAAGATGCTATTGTTAGTGTTGTAGATACAGAATAAGCTTTACTTATGATACCAGATATTTAACAAATTGGATCTAGAACTCCATGGGGTAATAAAAATTTGGATTTAGCAGGTTGGAGTACAAATTATAACTTTTTAAAATTTGTTGTTGTAAGAGGTGCAGGACATGTAATTATTTTATTTATATTCATAAAGATGGTACCTTAAGAGCAAAGACAAAATAGTTTTGAAATGATGGATAGTTTTATTAATAATAATGAACTTCCTAAATATAAATGAAGCAATATCAAAGTTATCATTTTAAAAATATCAAATAATTATTTTTATAAAAATATAATATTTTTGTTTATGCATCTTAATGATATTATGGTTTTTAATTTATTATAAAAATAATTTTAAACATTCAAGCATTAATTACTCACCTTCTTCTCTAGCCTTGTCTATTCTATCTCTATAAGCTAATTTATTCTTCTTGTCTTATTATATAAATGAATTTCTATTACTTTAATAATGCACTAAATCTTATATAGATGTTCAAAACCTTAATTAAATTTATTTATTACAATTCTTTTATTTTAAATAAAGTTTCTTATTTAGTATTTGTAGGTGATATCACCATTTCATTATGTAATTATTCTTCAAAGAACATCAACTAAAATAATCTTTATTTAACGTATTTCAATTTGATTCTAGTAATAATTGATATCTTTTTTTAATTAGCTTAATAACTTCTTCTAAATTGTTCTGATATTCTTTTTTATTTAATTAGTTATTTTTTAACTCCCATATTAAAATACTTGTTTCATTTTTATTTCTATTTTCTCTATAATTATTTAATTTTTTAATCTAAAATCTTTCTATAACCAATGTCATCAATCAAGTCAAATTTTTAGATATCTTCAATTATGAATACTTCTTTCACTTACTTAATAATTTAAATCGTGATAAATTCCCTTAAGGTATAATACATTTATAAAAAGTAAGATAATTAAATTAATAGCCTACTTGCTTTCTACTATATTTAATGTTTACATTTATTAATCTTCAAATAGCAAAGAATATGTAAATTATTTAAAGCCTAATTCTAAATGCTTTTACTACATTATTATTTAATCCTCATGAAGTTTTATTTGTTAATCTTATTAAAGGAACTTTTGAGTTATAA